TATCAATCGCTAGACTTATTTTCTTCAGTTTGTGTAGCTAAAGCGAACGTTTACATTTATTCATGAGATAAGGTCATGACGTAGTCATCTGATGAAGTGTGAACTCTCTAATTTTAAAAAGACGTGTTGATTGTTTCGGACGAATGTTTTAGCAAAAGGATACGACAAAAACAGCGGTCACTTTGCGAAAAAGCCAGGGGGATGAGTTTAAACTCCTTCCCTCATGGCCGGGGTAAAGCTGGAACGCCGTTGCAGCATCATGCAGCCAAATGTTTACCATTCAATAAATTTTCATCTTTAATCAAGTTCAGTTCTATTCAAAACTTCCTACAAACTTAAGTCATCCGTCACAATCGACGCTCAAACTCTCCGTGACCATTTGGGACTACTTGGCTAGTCAAACTTTCAGCAACTCTGTCAGGCCAGCTGGCAAAAGTCACTCTCTCAGGTACCTGCAGCGTCTCGACACAGTCCCGCACTCACCCGACTTCTCGAGGTCTTTGGCGGCCTGCGCGGCGCGCTCCAGGGCAGACGAGTCGAACCGGTAGGCCTCCATAGAGGTGGAGGCCGGCGGTCGGCCGGCGGGCTCGGCCGGCTGGCCGCCCTGACCACCGCCGTCCTGTCCGCCATCGGACGGCGGCGACGGGAACATCGGCACCTCCTGCTTCTTGTTCATCCCAAACAGCCACGACATGACTGCTGCGGGGCCTGGCACTGGCGAGATGGGGTCCGCTCAGCGCGCTACACTGCAAGCAAAGGTCCGAGGTCAGGACAGTTAGCTGAAAAACGGGATGATGAACTTTTACTTATCTGATTATTTCTGCCTAGGTGAAAGAGGTGTCCGAGGTGAAAGAGGTGCCTATGAGAGTGAGGTGTCCGAGGTCAAGATTCTGAAATCACTATCATGAGATCATCGGAGCTGCATTTGCCTTGGAATGGAATTTACACGAACCCTGACGATGGCTCTAACAACACAAACAAAGCAAGGCATCAAATTTGCAGGCCGATGAGTGGTGGATGGGACCCCTCGACTTCTCACAGATGTGGAAGTTTTGCAGTAAAAACAACAATAGGAGGGCTTTGGGAATGGGTACTGCATTTCAATACTTAGTTGATTCTTCACACCAATTTTGAGCCTATGAGAAGTGCTACCATATGTCTGCCATATTAGCCAGCCACAAAACTATTCCTTAGCCAACCTCGCAACGATCCTACCTCGGAAACTCGAAAACTACAGCGCCGATCGACACGAAATCAGCCATCATTCGCATACCAAAAAGTGATTTTACACGCTTTTTTCGAATATGGTGACCTCAGATGACCTTGAGATGTTTACACCTTTTCGCCTATCCTATTGCCAGGCGCGCACGCCGCACACACGATTTTTGAATGGGTGGCACGACCCGCAAAGTGGACCCCTCAGGTCCCAGCCGAAAGAAGTTGCCCTACTTGGACTCAAATGGGCCTGCTGGGGTCCGAGATGGCCCCGCTGGTCTTTTCAATCACCACTTCAACTCATCTGCAGGCGGTCTAAAGATTAGTTAGGGGCCTATTTGATGACCCGCGGCCTTCGGCTTCAGCCGCCTCTAATAGCCCCTAATTCGAATGGAGGGGGGGGGGGGGCTGCCCACGGGCACGTGTGCCCTCTTCCCTTGTGTGCGCCCTAGCCTACTGCAGTCATATTACAGCTCAACAACTCAACCGATACCATCGCGATAAAAACACCATAACCTTCCAGGCCGTAGGGGGGGGGGGGCATTTTTTGTCCCCCTTTAGTTTTTTCGATATATCTCCAGAACCGCTGCGCTGATCGTCACCAAACTTTCAGTACCCTCCCGTGAATAGCTATTGCACATTGTGACCAAAAATTTCCAAAGGCTATGATAGGTTGGCCGCTAATGACGTCAGAGTGACATCATTTCTGCCATTTTCGACCCAAAAAATGGTTTCGCGGGAAGAGCTGTCAGGCCTACAACTTTAGAGATACAGAAAAATGTTTCCGACATAAAAGGTGTAGAATTGACAGGGCTACAAAACTGCTATCTCGGATATTTGAAATTTTTTGATCTTGACCCCCAAAAATAAAAAATAGATCTTTTGAATATAATAGCCGAAAAATCCAAAAAGTTTTTTGAATTTCGAAAAAACCGGAAGATATGTGATAGTCCCTACCGCCTTCTATCTACATACCAAATTTGAGATCGATAGCTCTTTTTTTTGGCCAAGTTATAGCAAAAAAACTGTTCAAAATTGATGACATCAAATTTTCAAACTCAATTTTTAGCAATTCTAGACGTCGTAGCGCAAAACAAAGACCACCATTAGACTCCCCGTGACGAGCTGCATGCTGATGTTTGACGAGTTTACCCTCGCCAGCGTCCAAACATCAGCAGTTTGCTCGTCAAACTCTCAGGAATAGATTGCAAGCAATGGTGGGTAAGTCAAATATTTTTAAAGGGACACTCCCACCTTAACATTAGTTTTGAGTTGAGATAGCCAAATTGGTGGCCATGGCCTGCAAATACCGGTTTGGGCACTCACAACATCGAAAAATGCTTTAATTCGAAGATATGGAATTTCAAACTTGCAGTTTTCGGATTCTAAGGGGCTAATGCATTGGAATGCCCCCTTAGAATTTGTGACGTCAGCGGAGATCTAACGATTTTTAAATCTTAGACTAAAACCATCGTTAACACGTGGTGGTATACCCTGCTTTGCGCGCAACGTCTGCCGCACTTTAAGGCTGCCAAATTATTGCTTCCAAATAAAGCCGCTAGTAACAGGGGAGATCCCAAAAAGTAAACAAAAGTAAAAGCCTAATATCTTGAAAACCAGTGAATATTTTTCGGTGAAATTTGGTAGATATTCGTTTTCGCTCTTTCTGAACCAAGGGACATCTATTTCATGCCAATTCATTAACTTTTTTGAAGGTGGGAGGGTCCCTTTAAGTGAAGTGGTTATGCATCAGGCTTCAGGGGCCTGAAGCTAGATACATACTTACCAAACCACTGAACCTATAAATATTTGAACCTATAATATTTAACATTGCTTGTAATTTCTGTGCGTTGCCTTCGGGACTACACTGCTTCACTATCATGCTATGAGTATTTTGACATCACTTTCCTTACAGCTTTAAGTCATCTGTAATAAACTTACACATTCTGATTCACTGAACCTTGTTTTATCCATTCAACGCTGGGCAAGACTAGGGGTACCTAGCTTGCACACTGTCTTTTGTCATGCAGTTCTGGTTGGAGGTGTGGGAGTTGGCCATAATGGCAAATGGCGTACTGGTGCTTTTTAACTGGTTTGCAGAAGGAATAGGTATAAGAAATGAAATCAGGAAGTCTTAAAAGTTAAAGTAGGTATCTTGCGAAAAGTACATAAATACCAATGTGAAGTCTCACTTTTTGACTAAAAAATGTTCCTCATTTTCATTTTTTGTGAATTCCTTCAGTTTTAAATGATGTAAAAGGAGGGAACTTAGCATTTCAGATTGGAAAATGGAATATCTTCGCGGTTCGCCTAGGGTGGTCATCATAAAAAGCTCCTAATTTATGCTTGTCTCAGCACAAGCTACTAAACTGTTTTTCCAGTTCAAAACACCATGGTTGGGTGTACAGGCAATAAATACAACGAATCAACACCTACCCTTGGCATTTACCACCACACACGCGCCGGGTGCTCCTCGAAGCCAACTCGAAGAAAGCATGAAGTATCGTCTAAAGCGAGCCATAGTTGTCTCTAGTAGAGATTGTTAAAATAGAGTATCAAAGATTTGCTGTGAAAATGAATGAGATTTCTTCACTTTTACTAAATTTGCTTTAAAAATTGTGTGATTTTTCCCATAATAATTCATAAGGACAGAAATACAGAATCGCTGTATATCATTGAAACAAAAAGTGAACAAAAAATGCTCTATTTTGAAATTCCATAATACCCGCGGCTGTCACAAACCTAGCGCACAGCTTCGTGTTCACCTGTTATTCTCAAGGCCAATTCTGCAAACAACCGTGACTTTAATTGGTGGATGGCGTGGTGTACGCGCGCTCCACCAATTGGAGGTGACCTATTACGTCAAGTCAGTACCATGCTGAACATAGCACTGAGGCTACGGGTCTGTTCCCGTCGCTCCTCCCAAAAAATCTCGGATGAGGTTGGATGAGCTTGGAGGAGAGCCGTTTCAGAGGAGCCACGGGAACATTTTCGCACATTTTCGCGAGGAAATCAGCTGTTTGCGGGCTGTAACGGTCGGCGATTTATGGCGCGCAAACATAAATCAAGAGATAATAATCGCTTCCTAATAAAATAACCTTAGATTAATATCAAACATTACTGTTTAAAGATATCCTATCGTCATCAATCACTAAAATCATTTCCACTTCCCTCAAATCTCATTTATAAACAATTCACATTTGTATTACGTGCGCCAAATATGTCTACGCAAGAGCCTCCTCCAAAAAACCAACTTTCGTTTGGGATGAGGGAGGAGGCAAATAGTGGTGGTGAGATGTGAAATCAAGATGAGCTTGGAGGAGCTTGGAGGAGCGACGGGAACGATTTTTTGAAACGAGAGGAGGTTAGAGGAGCTTGGAGGAGGTTAGAGGAGCGACGGGAACAAACCCTACAATATGGCTACAGGGGCTACAGTTTACCAGTTTTGGCTACAGTTCTCTATGGGCCTGTTCCAGCGCCTCCAGAAGAAATTCTTGACTGGAGGCTCTACCAGAGGTTTTACTGGAGGCGCTGGAACGCAATCTGGAGATTTCTGGAGATTGGCGTCATAGATACCAAAAGAATGACGATTGTTCTCTCTTGAAACACAAAATTTGTTTTCAATTTTAGTTAAAAAGATAAATAAAATTATAGCAATGTAATTTTCTTTACATTCAAGTTGTAAAATAATCAGTCAAATGTCCTTTGCTTACATTCGTGATTGTCACATGAGCACCATAATTGTAGACCAGAGCCTCCAGAGAAATTTGGACCTCTCAACTCTCTGGAGGCTACTGGAGGTTTCTGGAGCTTTGGTGAGAGCTTTCTGGAGCTTTCTGGAGGCGCTGGAACGCTCTCTGGAGGATTCTAGAGCTTTCTGGAGCTTTCTGGAGGTTTCTGGAGGCGCTGGAACAGGCCCATATACCGTGCAGTTTACGTTGCATAGGTAGCTCAAGCTAGGTACTTTTTGACAGACATTCTTTCCTACTGATTGGTTAAGTGTGGATCTTGCTACCCACTTAATATATGATAAGGATAAATATATACCTACCGGAACTATAGCCTTAAAGGGACACTCCCACCTTAACATTAGTTTTGAGTTGAGATAGCCAAATTGGTGGCCATGGCCTGCAAATACCGGTTTGGGCACTCACAACATCGACAAATGCTTTATTTCGGAGATATGGAATTTCAAACTTGCAGTTTTAGGATTCTAAGGGGCTAGTGCATTGGTATGCCCCCTTAGAATTTGTGACGTCAGCGGAGATCTAACGATTTTTAAATCTTTTACTAAAACATTTGGTAGCACGCGGTGGTATATGCTGCTTTGCGCGCAACAAATGCCGCACTTTCAAATAAAGTCGCTAGGAACAGCGGAGATCCCAAAAAGTAAACAAAAGTAAAAGTCTAATATCTTGAAAACCGGTGAATATTTTTCGATGAAATTTGGCAGATATTCGTTTTCGCTTTTTCTGAACCGAGCGACATCACTTTCGTGCCAATTCATTAACTTTTTTGAAGGTGGTAGGGTTCCTTTAATTTTGATTGGGGCAGATCGGGGCTGCAGAACAAAGGTAGATGGGTACCTATACCTCAACCTAGGCACTTAGTAATAACGGTATTCGTAAAGCAGGCGTCCCACTTCCCTTGCCGGTTGTCTCAAGGCTGGTTATTCACACATACCTAAACACTAATATAGGTTCTGTGGTGAGTGCTTATACATTCCTCTTTTTATTTTAATGATAACACATTAAAGCTGGGTGTCTAGCAGCTAGCTATTATGGCATTACTAGCGCATACCTACGTCTCTCAAAGGGCTGCTTCTCAGCCACTGCCGAAAAAACTTATATGGCCTTGGCTGAAAAGTCTATTATCATAAACAACAGTCTATACCAACATTTTGCATGGTCATTTTCTCATTATGATCCTCCACAGTCCACATAGAGGATACCCGCGGAGTGTAGAAAATAAGGATCAGTCATTTCGCTGCAGTACCTATGCAAAATGGACTGTGGCTGTGACAATCCAATGCTGAGTTATAGGTACAGAAGCTTATGAACAATTGTATTGTATTGTATTGTTTTGTATATTTTCACAAACTTCTTCTGTGCGAACACAGCTTTTTCAGAAGTTTGAGTCATACAAAGGTTAAGAGAACTTAAAACTATAAATACATTAAAACAATGATGACACATATAGACTCCTACCTAATCAGAACTTTCATTTGATTAATTTTGACCACTTCTATGCATCATCCTCAGACGGCTTTTGAACTGCCCGATCGACGAGCTCTGCAACACAATATTTGGCAGTGAATTCCAAGAGGTAGCGGCGCGGTACGAGAAAATACGTTGGGTGGCGGCGAGTCTCACTCTAGGCAGGTCAAACTGCTCAGACCGGGCGAGGCGGGTGTCACGGGAGGCTGTATCACGTCTCGGAGTAAATAACCGGCGCATCGCAATCGGGGTGTCCGAATCATGAAGCGCACGATATACACGAATACAGTCACGCTCCGAAATCATATCCTCAAAGTTCACCCAGCCAATAGACCTAAGCACGGGAGACACGTGCTCGGCTCGTCGTGCGCCAGTGACCACACGGGCTGCGAAATGCAGCAGTTTTTGTATGCGCTTCAACTGGCTGCTGCATGCACTAGCCCAAACTGGCAAACAGTACAAGATATGGCTGAATACGTGGGCTTGGATGATGGCCAGGAGCGCTTCAGTAGTGAAGTGACGTCTAAACCGATACAGCGAGACGAGACTACCCGTACACCGGCGAACTACCAGCGACACGTGGCTCTCCCATGTGAGGGATTGGTCAATGATGACACCTAATACTTTGATGTTTTTTGATGGGGTAAATTTGTGACCAGACATTTCGAAGAAAAAGGAGGAACTTTCCTTGACGGCTTGCCGTGTGCCTAAAAGTGAAAATACCGTTTTTGAGGGGTTCATTTTTAGGGAATTTACTCTCAGCCACATTTCTATGGACTTGAGGGATTCCTCGAGGCGAATCTTGAGCAAACTCATGCTGACTTTGTCCCTTGAAGAACTGTCGAGCAGTTGGGTGTCATCAGCGTAACTGATGAGCCGTCCATGGGGAAGAAAATTTCGCATTTCGTTAACCGTGAGACAAAAAAGAATCGGCCCGATAATCGATCCCTGGGGGACGCCACACGTCACTGGCAGCACAGTGGTGCCGCCGCGAACCATCTGTCTTCGATCGCTCAGGTAGCTGGCAAACCAATCAGACGAGATGCCGTACCATCCCATCTTACTGAGAAGGACGCCGTGGTCGACGCTGTCAAATGCCTTACTGAGATCGAGGGATGTTATCGATGCTAGGTGACCTGAGTCGATCTTCTTCGAGATCCACTCGACAGCGTCGACCAGGGCGTCCTCTACGCTGTGTCTGCGTCGGTAAGCATATTGTGTTTGTAACAATCGTCGGTAACAATTGAACAAGTGTAATTGATGCCACAAATTATTACACTACAGACGTCAGACGTACACACTGTTGAATGCAGTGTTTTCTAAAGATGAAAGAGCATTGACTGCCGACTGGCAGAGCTGGATGATCTACTTTGTACAAGGTACCTTATTTCAGACTTGGCATGGGGATTGTGAGTTCGTTTCCCATTGGCAGGGATCATCCGACGTATCAGCTAACATAAAATCAGTCCTAAAAAAAAAATAAAAGAAAACAAATTTGAATATAGACAGTTGTGAAATTTAACAGGACGAAGTTCAAATGTAAGGAAATTAATTTCAATAATAGCAAGAATTTATAAAATTTATGAAAAATAAAAAGGAACTTATTCTTTTTTTTCAACTTGCATTGCTCTTTTTACATAATACTGGATAATGTTTTTTTCAGACTCTAAGACAGCAAATCATGAGCAGTTCAGCTCAGCTGCAGAGGCTTGCTGATAGCGCAGGGTCTTTGCTCAACTGTGCAGGCCTTGTGCTAGAACATGCCACTGGAGAGCAACAGCAAAAGCTGCTGCTTACCATCCGCGAACATATGCTCGAGTACGCTCGCATGCACGTGGAGGTGCAACAATCGACCGAGGTGCTGCAGCAGGTTAAGGACGAGGCCGTTGTGTCGATCACCAACGGTACAGACACGGACCTCACCCAGATGCTGGACGAGACCCAGCGCCGAACGGCTCAGCGCATGGCCAACGTGTCCGAGCGGGAACTGACCACCTATCCGCGCTACCAGCAGCTGCTGCAGCGCGAGGAGGCGGCCGGCAGCGCGGCGGCCGCCGCCGCCGGCGACCAGGAGCTGGTCATGACCGAGACGCACATGGTGACGCGCGACCCGTGGTCCCAGCAGGAGATCCGCCAGCCGTATCGGAACGCGCGCTGCGGCCACCTGTACGACCGCAGCTCGCTGGAGGCCGTCCTCCAGAAGCGCTCCCGACGGCCCACCTGTCCGCACGTGGGCTGCACCAACAAGATGCCGCTCCGCTGGGAGGATCTCACCGAGGACACCTTCGCCAAACAGGCCATCGAGAAAAAGAAGACACAGGCTTAAATGGTTTCGTGGTTAGAGCCTGTTCGTTACCATCCCATCATTCCAGTATTGCAGTGTCATTGCCATTTGTAATAAACGTTCGTCCATCGCCATGCGTTATTTTTACGTTCCTAATAATGTGGGCATTTTGCGCCTCATGAGTCAACACTCAACTGAGTTCAAATTTGCACTGTTCACGTCTTTTCAAGTCGCTGACCAATGGCATGAGTGAACCCTAGCTAGAATGGCTCAAGCATGTTGCGCCATCAGTGCCAGGGTCCAGTCCGGAATCTCGTACGGAGATGGAACTTGCAGGAATGAGTCATAAGTTAATTTTCGAATCCTCTCAACCCAAACTTGTTCGATGTGTCGGTTTTTTCATTGGCGTCAACAAAAGTCAGGTCAAGCACGTGATCATTGAGGGAAATAAGGGAACTGGTATATTTGCACCGGAAATCATCCAGATACTAACTCATTAGCACATTGAGGTGTTTTTATCGTGATGGTATCGGTTGAGTTGAGATGCCTGCAGTAGGCTAGGGCGCACACAAGGGAAGAGGGCACACGGGCCCGTGCCCCCCCCCCATTCGAATTAGGGGCGGCGGGCCCATTTGAGGCTGCCGAAACCGAATGCCGCCGGTCCTCAAATGGGCCCCTAATCTTTAGACCGCCTGAAGATGAGTTGAAGTGGTGATTGAAAAGACCAGCTGGGCCACCTCGGTTACTAGCAGGCCCATATGAGTCCATGTAGGGCAACTTTTTTTCGGCAGGGGGCCTGAGGGGCCAGTTTGCGCCTTGCGGGTCGTGCCACTCCCATTCAAAAATCCTGTGTGTGACGTGCGCGCCTGGCAATAGGATAGGTGGAAAGGTGTAAAACATCTCAAGGTCATCTGAGGTCACCATTTTCGAAAAAAGCGTGTAAAATCACTCATTGGGATGCGAATGATGGCTTATTTCGTCTCGATCGGCACTGTAGTTTTCGAGTTTCCGAGGTAGGATCGATGCGGGCTGCGAGCAAGATTCCTTTACTTCTCTGCCAGGTTGGCGAAGGAATAGCTTTGGGCAGCTTTGGGGCTGGCTTATATGGCACACATATGGTAGCACTGCTTTTCGACAGATGATGCTTTCTTCAGACGTTTCTGATCTTTCGTTGTTGACAGAAAAAGTAGGGGCATAAGGCAGTTCAAGCTACATATCCGAAGGTTGGGACTTTTCAATTAAGAACAATCACTATTCTTTAGAATTGTGATTTTCTATTGAAAATCCCAACCTGAGCTACCTCTCTAGGGGGGTGTTTAGCGTTTCGGCCGCGATTTGGGACATTTTGACTCCCGCAAAAACGGCACGGTAAAATTTCTTGCCATTTTCAGCGTTTGGTCCCCTATGGGGGAGCTACCGGCTGGCATCGGTCGCTTGAAATATAATTAACCCGTTTTGGGGTAATCGGCACGTGCATTTTCCCATAAGGTTAACATGGGGAAAAATTTAAAATGCGATTTGCGCAAAAACTCCACGTTAGAAATGGATTGTTTTTTTAGGATGGGTTCTCGGGTCGGGACTCCACCTGCCGGTGGTGGCCGTTTAAAATATAATTATACTTCCTTGGGGTAATCGGGACGGATAGTTACCCCATGTTGAGCCTATGGCGAATTCGAAAAATTATTTTCAAATCGATTTTGCCAAAAATTTCCACGTTAGATTTTGAAAATGTTCCAATATGTTGTGCCCCGGGGTGTCGGCTACCACGTGGTATGGGTCAGATATGGGGCGATTGAAAAGCACGTGCCACGTGCAAACGTGTTTGATGGGGTAACCTCCGGGAAAATCCGACATTGGCCAACTGGGGGTCCTATGGCGTGGAAACCACTCCACCTAGCGACACCAAATCAACGCAGCCGGTGAGCAGATGAGTCCAGCTTGTCGCACTAGTGGTCACGTGGCGCACGTGCTATTGCACGTGCCGTGGCACGGGGTCAATTTTGGTGCTTAAATATACTCGCATTGTGAAATGCAAGGAATGGGGGAAATACCCGTCAGGCCGTCAGTTTTTATGGTAGGGTCGATCTGAAAACGGGTATAGACACAGAATGAAGGGGGCTAGAAAACTGCTATCTCGGATTTTTTATATTTTGAAAATTTCGAAATTCTAGGGAAATTATATATTCGAAAGGTGAAATTTCCCTAAATTTTCCCGTTTTTCAAGTTAAGCCGTCCACTGTTCAGTGACGGTGACACCGGCCGGTGTCATCTTTTACATGCTGATGGTCACGTCGATGGGTCATCACGTGGCGTAAACGGTTAAGCTGTCACAGGTCCGGCACGTGCCACGTGGCCACGTGTTTGAGCCAAGTACCTCCCACATATTGGTGTTTTGGCCAACTGGTGGCCGTATAGCGTGGAAACTGAACCAGCCAAGAACACTAAATAGGGTCAGTCGGTGAGGGGACAAGTCCTGTTTACACCACCGGTGGTCACGTGGCACACGTGCAAATCTGGGCACCTCCGTTGCGGAGATATTTTATAGTGAAATATTCAAATAAACATAACTTTGTCAGTTTATATCCGATTGGGCTAGAATTTAATGGGTGGACGAATTGTTAAGCGACAGGAACGAATGCGCCAAGTTTGTTGCAGTGCGCCACGTTTGTCTCAAAGCGCCATTTTGCCGCAAAGCGCAGAATGTGCGTAACTTTGTCGAACATGGGACGATTAGGATGCGCTGATGGAGGGTTGGTTGCTTAAACAGCAGATATGAATGCACCACACTTGCCGCAAGGCGCCATATTTGTCTTAATGCGTCAGTGTTTGCGTTTTGCGGACGGCATGCGTTTTTTTGCGGCGGTGTTTGCGTTTTTTGTGTTTGCGTTTGGCGGCGGGCGGCCGTTTTTGCGTTTTTTTTGTGGTGTTTGCGTTTCGCGGCGGGCGGCCGTTTTTTGCGGCGGTTTGCGGTTGGCGGCGGGCGGGCGTGCGGTGCGGGCGTTTTTTTCGGCGGTATTTGCGTTTTTTGCGGTTTTTGTGTTCGGCGGCGGCCGGGCGGGCGATGCGGGTGTTTTGCGGTGTTTGCGTTTGGCGGCGGGCGGCCGTTTTAGCGGCGGTTTGCGGTGGGCGGCCGTTTTTTGCGGCGTTTTGCGGTTTGCGGCGGGCGGTCGTTTTTTGCGGCGTTTTGCGGTTGCCGGCGGCCGGGCGTTATTTGCGTTGTTGCGGTTTGCGGCGGGCGGCAGTTTTTTGCGGCGTTTCGCCGTTGGCGGCGGGCGATGCGGGCGTTTTTTGTGGCGGCGGTGTTTGCGTTTTTTGCGGTGTTTGCGTTTTGCGGCGGACGGGCGTTTTTTGCGGCGTTTTTTGCGTTTTTTTCTGCGGTTTTCGGCGGGCGGTTGATTGTTTTTTTGCGAAGTTTGCGTTTGCTTTTTGGGCGTGCGTTTGGCGGTGTTTGCGTTTGGCGGCGGGCGGGCGGTTTTTCACAATTAAAGTCCCAACCTTCGGATCCGCAGAGCTGTTCGACAAGCGCTGCCCGGGCCTATCCGAAGGTTGGGACTTTTCAATTAGACAATCACTATTCTTTAGAATTGTGATTTTCTATTGAAAATCCCAACCTGAGCTACCTCTCTAGGGGGGTGTTTAGCGTTTCGGCCGCGATTTAGGACATTTTGATTCCGAGAAAAACGGCACGGTAGAATTTCTTGCCATTTTCAGCGTTTGGTCCCGTATCGGGGAGCTACTGGCTGGCATCGGTCGCTTGAAATATAATTAACCCGTTTTGGGGTAATCGGCACGTGCATTTTCCCATAGGGTTAACATGGGGGAAAATTGGAAATTCGATTTGCGAAAAATTTCGTCAATTATATTTGCTGATATTTTTAGGATCGGATCTCGGCCTGGCACCTCACCTTTTGATGTTAATTATTTAAAAATCATAGGGTACAATTTCGGGTAATCGGGACGGATAGTTACCCCATGTTGAGCCTATGGCAATTTTGAAAAATTATTTTCAAATCGATTTTGCATAAAATTTCCACGTTAGATTTTGAAAAAGTTCCAATATGTTGTGCACCGGGGTGTTGGCTACCACGTGGTATGGGTCAGATATGGGGCGATTGAAAAGCACGTGCCACGTGCAAACGTGTTTGATGGGGTAACCTCCGGGAAAATCCGACATTGGCCTACTCGGGGTTCTATGGCGCGGAAACGACTTCATCTAGCGACACCAAATCAGTGTAGCCGGTGAGCAGATGAGTCCAGCTTGTCGCACTAGTGGTCACGTGGCGCACGTGCAAGTGCGTGGCACGTGGTCAATTTTGGTGCTTAAATATACTAGCATTGTGAAATGCAAGGAATGGGGGAAATAGCCGTCAGGCCGTCAGTTTTTATGATAGGGTCGATCTGAAAACGGGTATAGGCACAGAATGAAGGAGGCTAAAAAACTGCTATCTCGGATTTTTTGTAAAATGAAAAATTTAAAATTCTGGGGAAATTATATATTCGAAAGGTGAAATTTCCCTAAATTTTCCCGTTTTTCGAGTTTAGCCGTCCACTGTTCAGAGACGGTGACACCGGCCGGGGTCATCTTTTACATGCTGGTGGCCACGTCGATGGGTCATCACGTGGCCTGAGCGGTGAAGCTATCAGAGGTCCGGCACGTGCCACGTGGCCACGTGTTTGAGTCGCGTACCTCCCAGATTATCGTGTGTTTGCCGATTTGTGGCGTTATAGCACGAAAACAGCACCAGTCAGGAAGCCTGAAATGGTGCAACCGGCGAGGGGACAAGTCCTGCTTACACCACCAGTGGTTACGTGGCACACGTGTGAAGATGGGCACCTTCGTGGCGGAGATATTTTATAGTGAAATATTCAAATGTGCATAACTTTGTAAGTTTAAGTCCGATTGGGCTAGAATTTGGTGGGTGGATGAATTGTTAAGCGACATGAACGAATGCGCCATGTCTGTTGCAGTGCGCCACGTTTGTCTCAAAGCGCCATTTTTGCCGCAAAGCGCAGAATGTGCTTAACTTTGTCGAACATTGGACGATTAGGATGCGCTGTAATTAAGGGATGGCTGCTTAAACGGCAGATATGAATGCACCACATTTGCCGCAGGGCGCCATATTTGTCTTAATGCGTCAGTGTTTGCGTTTTGCCTACGGCGGGCGTTTTTTTGCGGCGGCGTTTGCGTTTTTTTCGGGGTTTGCGTTTGACGGCGGGCGGCCGTTTTTGCGTTTTTGGCGGTGTTTGCGTTTGGCGGCGGGCGGCCGTTTTTTGCGGTGTTTTGCGGTTGGCAGCGGGCGTGCGTGCGTTGCGGGCGTTTTTTTTTGCGGTGGTGTTTGCGGTTTTTGTGTTTGGCGGTGGGCGGACGGGCGATGCGGGTGTTTTTGCGGTGTTTGCGTTTGGCGGCGGGCGGCCGTTTTAGCGGCGGTTTGCGGTGGGTGGCCGTTTTTTGCGGCGTTTTGCGGTTTGCGGCGGGCGGCCGTTTTTTGCGGCGGTTTGCGGCGGGCGGCCGTTTTTTGCGGCGTTTTGCGGTTTGCGGTGGGCGGCCGTTTTTTGCGGCGTTTTGCGGTTGCCGGCGGCCGGCCGTTATTTGCGAATTTGCGTTTTGCGGCGGGCGTCCGTTTTTTTGCGGCGTTGCGCGGTTGGCGGCGGGCGATGCGTTTTTTGCGGAGGCGGTGTTTGCGTTTTGCGGCGGACGGGCGTTTTTTGCGGCGTTTTTTTTCTGCGGTTTTTGGCGGGCGGGCGATTGTTTTTTTGCGAAGTTTGCGTTTGCATTTTAGGCGTCGTTTTGCGGTTTTGCGTTTGGCGGCGGGCGGGCGGTTTTTCACAATTAAAGTCCCAACCTTCGGATCCGCAGTGCTGTTCGACAAGCGCTGCCCGGGCCTATCCGAAGGTTGGGACTTTTCAATTAAGAACAATCACTATTCTTTAGAATTGTGATTTTCTATTGAAAATCCCAACCTGAGCTACCTCTCTAGGGGGGTGTTTAGCGTTTCGGCCGCGATTTAGGACATCTTGATACCCTCGAAAACGGCTCGTTAGATTTTCTTGCCATTTTCAGCGTTTGGTCCCGTATCGGGGAGCTACCGGCTGGCATCGGTCGCTTGAAATATAATTAACCCGTTTTGGGGTAATCGGCACGTGCATTTTCCCATAGGGTTAACATGGGGAAAAATTGAAAATGCGATTTGCGCAAAATCTGTTCAGTAATATTTGTCCACATTTTTGGGGTCGGCTCTTGGGCTGGCACCTCACCCTCTGGTGGTAATTATTTAAAATATAAATGACAAAATTTCGGGTAATCGACGCCGACAGTTACCCCATGCTGAGCCTATGGCGAAATCGAAAAATTATTTTCAAATCGATTTTGCAAAAAATTTCCACGTTAGATTTTGAAAATGTTCCAATATGTTGTGCCCCGGCGTGTCGGCTACCACATGGTATGGGTCAGATATGGGGCGATTGAAAAGCACGTGCCACGTGCAAACGTGTTTGATGGGGTAACCTCCGGGAAAATCCGACATTGGCCAACTGGGGGTCCTATGGCGTGGAAACCACTCCACCTAGCGACACCAAATCAACGCAGTCGGTGAGCAGATGAGTCCAGCTTGTCGCACTAGTGGTCACGTGGCGCACGTGCTATTGCACGTGCCGTGCCACGGGGTCAATTTTGGTGCTTAAATATACTAGCATTGTGAAATGCAAGGAATGGGGGAAATAGCCGTCAGGCCGTCAGGTTTTATGATAGGGTCGATCTGAAAACGGGTATAGGCACAGAATGAAGGGGGCTAAAAAACTGCTATCTCGGATTTTTTGTAAAATGAAAAATTTAAAATTCTGGGGAAATTATATATTCGAAAAGTGAAATTTCCCTAAATTTTCCCGTTTTTCGAGTTTAGCCGTCCACTGTTCAGGGACGGTGACACCGGCCGGGGTCATCTTTTACATGCTGATGGCTACGTCGATGGGTCATCACGTGGCGTGAACGGTGAAGCTATCAAAGGTTCGGCACGTGCCACGTGGCCACGTGTTTGAGTCGCGTACCTCCCAGATTATCGTGTGTTTGCCGATTTGTGGCCTTATAGCACGAAAACAGCACAAGCCAGGAACACTGAAATGGTGCAATCAGTGAGGGGACAAGTCCTGCTTGCATCACCGGTGGTCACGTGGCACACGTGCAAATCTGGGCACCTCCGTTGCGGAGATATTTTATAGTGAAATATTCAAATGTACATAACTTTGTCAGTTTAAGTCCGATTGGGCTAGAATTTGGTGGGTGGATGAATTGTTAAGCGACATGAACGAATGCGCCATGTTTGTTGCAGTGCGCCGCGTTTGTCTCAAAGCGCCATTTTTGCCGCAAAGCGCAAAATGTGCGTAACTTTGTCGAACATTGGACGATTAGGATGCGCTGTAATTAAGACATGGCTGCTTAAACGGCAGATATGAATGCACCACATCTGCCGCAGGGCGCCATATTTGTCTTAATGCGTCAGTGTTTGTGTTTTGCCTACGGCGGGCGTTTTTTGCGGCGGTGTTTGCGTTTTTTTCGGTGTTTGCGTTTGACGGCGGGCGGCCGTTTTTGCGTTTTTTTGGCGGTGTTTGCGTTTGGCGGCGGGCGGCCGTTTTTTGCGGCGTTTTGCGGTTGGCCGCGGGCGTGCGTGCGTTGCGGGCGTTTTTTTGCGGAGGTGTTTGCGTTTTTTGCGGTTTTTGTGTTTGGCGGCGGGCGGGCGGGCGATGCGGGTGTTTTTGCTGTTTGCGTTTGGCGGCGGGCGGCCGTTTTGGCGGCGGTTTGCGGCGGGCGGCCGTTTTTTTGCGGCGTTTTGCGGTTTGCGGCGGGCGGCCGTTTTTTGCGGCGTTTTGTGGTTTACGGCGGGCGGCCGTTATTTGCGGTTAGCGGCGGGCGGCGGGCGGTCGTTTTTTGCGGCGTTTAGCGGTTTGCGGCGGGCGGCCGTTTTAGCGGCGGTTTGCAGCGGGCGGCCGTTTTTTGCGGCGTTTTTTTGTGGTTTGCGGAGGGCGGCCGTTTTTTTGCGGCGTTTGCGGTTGACGGCGGCCGGGCGTTATTTGCGTTGTTGCGGTTTGCGACGCCGGGCGTTTTTTGCGGCGTTTTTTGCGTTTTTTGTCTGCGGTTTTCGGCGGGCGGGCGATTGTTTTTTTTTTGCGAAGTTTGCGTTTGCGTTTTGGGCGTGCGTTTTGCGGTGTTTGCTTTTGGCGGCGGGCGGGCGGTTTTTCACAATTAAAGTCCCAACCTTCGGATCCGCAGAGCTGTTCGACAAGCGCTGCCCGGGCCTATAGTAAGGTAAGCTTTTTTGGTGATTGCTGATAATCGAATTATTGCTGGCCTGTGCTTATCATTCGATTTCGGTTATATTTATCACTGCTTTTCCACGGCACAAATAATTCCGATTTTGCAAAATGGATTTTCTGGATAATATGAATATCATGTAGAGACGTGTTTTTAAACTGTTAATATATGATTAAATGATATCCAAAGCCATAAGTATTTTTTTGCATATGGTGAAAAGTGACAGAGAAAAGTGCCCACGAAGCTGTGTTAAATTAATCGAAGCATGTCATGGAAACATAGCAATAGGTAGTGTATAATGTATATCTTCGGATCTAGACTCTTAAGTCTTAGGATTGAACTTTAGTGCCTGACTGTGGTCTGTGATGGCTCATTTAAGAGTTCATTGTATTATTTGGCTCTAGGCATCAAGACTCAACAGGCTTCCTAAAATTTTGGTAATAATTGGGTCACACAGACTGAAACTGTCATGTGATTCATCATTTAGTTTTTTGTTTATAAAGTCTCTGTGTCAAAAACAACTTCAACATTTTTCTTTTGCTATCACTAAAGTCAAAGCTTGTATTGTTATCCCTGATGTTATTTTTGTAGACTGTTGGCTGTGGTCTAGTGGTCAGTGGACAATGAATTAGGCATTTACATGAATCTGTGACATTGGCTTCCATCTATCCTAGAAGCAGTAAAGGTGTTTTGAAATGATTTTATGGGTGTTTGATTTTTATTGCAGTTTCTTTTTTGCAAATTTTCAGATAATAGGTAAATGAACAGCATAGCATCCCTCCAAATTTTGACAATACTTGAGCAATGCAGCAATGCAATGAACTATAACTGACTTAAATTGTGTACTGAAAACCAAGTAGATCACATATTTGATTATTGATTTACCTTTTGACTATTGAAATGAGATTCATATACCTGCATATAATATAAGTAAACAGCATTTGATATAATAAAACCCTAGCATTAGTATCATATGATCTATAATTAAATTCTCCCCACCATCTGGGATCCATGCAGAAGTGTGTCTGTATTTCAGAGTGATGTTGTCAGGTCGACTGGCACTGGTGACTGGTGGCGGCTCCGGCATCGGCCGGGCCGTCTGCCAGGTGATGGCTCGAGAGGGCGCCCGCGTCGTGGCCGCCGACCTCAACGAGGCCTCCGCCAAGGAGACGGCCGCGCTGCTGGCGAGCGCCGAGCACGTGGGCGTGCCGCTGGACGTGACGAGCGAGGAGTCGGTGGCGGCCGTGGTGCGCGGCGTGCGGGACCGCTACGGCGCGCCGGCAGACTGCGTCGTCAACAGCGCTGGAATCACCGGCTTCAGCTTCCTGAAAGACATGTCTCTGGAAACGTTTTCACACGTGATCGACGTGAACCTGAAGGGGACGTTCCTTGTTACCAAGCTCGCCTCCAACGCTATGATCGAGGCCAAAACGGGAGGCTCCATCACCAACATGGCAAGCATCCTGGGTAAGATAGGAGCTATCAGCCAGTGCAACTACTCTGCTAGCAAGGCCGGAGTGGAAGCCTTCACGCGGACGGCCGCCAAAGAGCTCGGCCGAAAAGGGATCCGGTGCAACGCCATTCTTCCGGGCTACATCGACACGCCGATGACATCGATCGCCTCGGACAAAATAATCAAAATGGTGATGCCGCTGATCATCCTGGCCCGGAAAGGGCGGCCTGAGGAGGTGGCCGAGCTAGCCGCCTTCCTGGCCTCTGACCGCGCCTCCTACATGACCGGAGCCAGTGTCGAGGTTACCGGCGGATACGGCCTGTAGGGATAACGGGGATGTCTGACAATTTGTGCCATAGTGAGGGATAGATAAAGTATTTTTACGAATTATTGAATCGGTAATCGGTATTTTGACAGATGTCAGTTGTCTTCCTGGTGAAAGTGATAAAGAACAATGCAATTTGTCAAAACTCAGGAACGGCTGGATCGCAGAATAATCGCTATGTGTATTTTTAGGCTAGTTGTGTATCATGAATGATGATGAACTAATTGTGGCTTTTTATACAGCTACTTGTCCATGTCTTGAAACAACCAAAAGCCGCCATGCATAATGCATTTGTACGTTCCATATTAACCCTCGCCCATGTAGGGGGGGGGGGGTGCAACCCCCCCCCCCCTGAGGTTTTTCTTAGCTACACGCCGAACCGTTTCAGATAGCCTGCTCAAATTTTCAGTACCCTTTGGGGCATCCTTTGCGCAACTTTTGGTATTTTTTTTTTTGTCAAGGTCATGTCAGGTCACGGAGTTATGACGTCATAAAGGGAACAACCTCCGGCCAGATTTACGCTAAATTGGAGATTGCTTCACATTGGTATAAATGCCGACTGACCTGACACACTGATGGATTGTTTTAGAATCACAACTGGCTGATTTGACATTGGCACAATGTCTGTTGACATTTTGAAGGTTACTAAAGGTCAAGGTCAGGTCAGTGACCTCGGTTGACCTGTAATGACTTCTTGCACTTGTGTGCCTTTTCGGGGTATTTTGATGCCCTGAATTCGAATTTGCTATCCATTTCAGGCATCGTTGGTTGTTTCTTGTAGTTCATTTTGGGTCAGGGTCAGGTCAGTGACGTCACACGCCTGACGTGACCCAATGCACAAATGACCTTGCAGACTTCCGATGCTCCCAACGCATCATTTTTAGAGCTATGACATCGAAATATACACCAAACGATAGAGAATTTATCACGGATCACGATAGTGAAGGTTTCGAGTCGATATCTTTTACCATTTTGCCGCAATCGGCGCGGAAATTTGAAAAAGTTAGATTTTTCCGAAAATTTGACCTTTGACAGGTCATAAGTAGGTCAAATGTTGACCTAGGACCAAAAAATATCCCACCAATCGCGAGATCTCGTTGAGAGCAATCCGTTGGTCTTTTCCGCTAAGCTCTACGACGCTCCGTTTTCAAACGCCAGGGGGGGTCGCACCCCCCCCCCCCTGCATGGGCGAAGGTGGCAAAACACCGTTTACGGGCGAGGGTTAAACAATGTTTGCGTGTTTTGATGTACGTAATCAGCCGAATATATTAAATATTTGCCCTAAGCATGACCTTCCTGCATATTCTGATTTGGCGTTTCGGGTAGTTTGTGTAACCTTATGTCAAAACCGTAGAGGGACTCATATAGCAGATAGGAGAACCACTATTTTGCAGCCCACAGAGAACGGGCGATTGCTGATCATGCTGAATGTTGTCTGAACGGAGACTGAACAGTCTTGGGACGCTGCATTGCTACGTGATCTTGCGTGAACCCGTCGGTGATTCCTTTCAGCAGTCAGCGGGGCAGTAGCTGGATGACATTGGCCAAGACCTCCTTTTACTTGCTAGTTTTCGAGCAGCGTTTCTTTGTAGCCGATTTCCGGCATAGAATCCTAAACGTTCTGCGTTGGAGTGTCAACTGTCAGCGAACTACACGAGATATGGTTTTGCGAGGCCTGGTAGAAAATAACTGTGAAGGCAGGGAGCCGGGAGTGCAAGTTAAGATAGTTTTGTTTTTCGTTTTATTGAGTATCTGACATCTGTCTGTAGTGTTGGTTTGATACTCGGCCGTACAGCTTACGAAGGACGCCCTTCGAATTTTAAGTAGGGAAACTAAGAGGGAAACTTCTATTTCTGTGGTTCCATCTGCTGAGCCCTGGTAAGGGAAAAATTACGAGCCGAAAGACTAGGGTCCTTTGCCCCTTTGTCCCCCCCCCCCCCCCCTACAAATGATCACAACCGTCCACGTGGAACGCCAGCGACTGCCATAACTACCTGACCTTCTGAACGACTCGCCAGTTCCCGGCAGCTGGCACTGGTTTCCCACAGGTCCCTATGGCTGTTTCAGAGCGATGTTGTCAGGTCGACTGGCACTGGTGACTGGTGGCGGCTCCGGCATCGGCCGGGCCGTCTGCCAGGTGATGGCTCGAGAGGGCGCCCGCGTCGTGGCCGCTGACCTCAACGAGGCCTCCGCCAAGGAGACGGCCGCGCTGCTGGCGAGCGCCGAGCACGTGGGTGTGCCGCTGGACGTGACGAGCGAGGAGTCGGTGGCGGCCGTGGTGCGCGGCGTGCGGGACCGCTACGGCGCGCCGGCAGACTGCGTCGTCAACAGTGCAGGAATCAATGACGACAGTTTTCTCGTCAATATGATTGCGGCGCAGTTCATGAAAGTGCTGGATGTAAATCTCAAAGGAACCTTTCTGGTTACAAAGCTCTCCACAAATGCAATGATTGATGCTAAAATCGACGGCTCGGTCGTAAACATCGCTAGCATCGTTGGAAAGGTGAGCAGCATCGGAACGTGCAACTACTCTGCCAGCAAGGCCGGAGTGGAAGCCTTCACGCGGACGGCTGCGAAGGAGCTTGGTCGAAAGGGGATCCGGTGCAACGCCATCCTGCCGGGCTTCATCGACACGCCGATGGTGGCGGCGATGCCGGAGAAGGTGATGAAGCTGCTGGTGCCGCTGATCGTGCTCGGTCGGCCCGGCCGGCCCGAGGAGGTGGCCGAGCTGGCCGCCTTCCTGGCCTCTGACCGCGCCTCCTACATGACCGGAGCCAGTGTCGAGGTCACCGGCGGATACGGAATATGACGTCATGAATGATTGTAATATTTTAGAATGATAATGTGGTAATAGTTTTGTCAGAGTGAATTATTGAGCAATCTAGTGATCCGCGACTGCTCGACTCGCAAGTGATTGAAATTGATATTTGAAACTTGAAAGGAACTCTTGGAACGGGAAACTTGAATTGGAAAACCAAGTGGGTAAGTAAACGTTTTGGCACCAGAGCTCAAGCTGCGAGCGCCAGCCGCCGAATAATCTTCGATGAAGCGGGATCGCCGGACGCAGGGCTTAGGCACAAATATAATGCCTACAATGACAGCCCCTGCACCCTTCATCTCAGACCCATTCGCCACCTATGGGTCTCGCAGAGATACCATCTGCGACAGGAAAATTGCGACGCTGGCGTCACCACATCCGTTCCGAGTTTTCCTCGGTCCTGCTCTGCAGGGCATGGTCTGCCTCTCAGTGCCAACGGTATGCCACATTTTCCCGTCTCAAGGAACGCGCAGTGGTTGGCGCGGAAGGTTACACCGACTCCCGTGGTGCTTTGGCCGTTGGAGGCAGTTCGGTTTTATCGGTGGCTTTCCTGTCTTATGAGGATATTTGAACCCGTTGCTTGTGTCAGGTTTATACTTGGTCGGTATTGGTGACAGTTAAGTGTTTCAAATGAAGCTTGCTTATCGTTCTAACGTATTGTTCGCTCTTACGTATCATTAAATGCAAGTTGATGTAAAAAATGTATTTCCTTTGATATAGCATCGTATCTTATAATAACCAGGCTGTGCTTCAATGAATATCTTGATGGTTCTTTTTTGTAATACGAAATTTATTTCTTCCATCACATCTCCTTTTACTACGGGACATGCACTATGCATATGTATTTGCATGAAATGCACCTATTAAAGCTGCTTGTCACCTGCGTTAGAGTACCATGCAATATGCTCACACATCTGTACACATGTAGGCACAATATATCACGAATGCATATAGAATGCACAAAAATAGTATAAGCATGTTTCATTTACAAATTCACCCTCATCCCGCACTGCACCATTTGCAATGTGCACATCGTCAAGAGGGCCGTCGCTGTCACTGTTCGTCGTTGTCCGTAAGGTCGTTTCGTCGTTGCGCTGTGCCTTCTGTCTTATGAGCTAACGATTGTCCACAAGTTGTCAGCCCTGAAACGGTGCTGGGCAGGGCTCGCAAGGAAAGCGAGCGAAAGTGGAGACGGGCGTCGTTATACTCATAGTGTCATCGGTCTTGTGATCCGCTTCAGACACTGTGTTCCCGTCAACATGAATTTGACCCCTGACTCCACGGATGCAAACACTTTGGTTGATACCATTGATGACGTAAGGCATTCAAAGCTCTTGTTTAGGTTACCTACTCATGCTGTCTACTTATCTCATCGAATGTCTGGATCCTGAATCCACACTTGCTGCCTTTGATATTGAGGCTTGCGAAAGCCACTTCCTTATTATGATTGTTCGGCTTGAACCCCCGCAGAGTGGGCTTAAATACCTACAACACAATAAACCAAGTGGTAATAAACCACGAGCACGGTGACCTAGAACAACGTTGCACAGCCACTCCAAAATCGCACCATGGTCGGACTTCCATTGAATGATATGACCTTACCGTCGTGCACAGCTTCACCGGCTTAGATAGCATAGCACTCCTGCACTCCCTGGTCTATGTGGACAAGTCATTGTTTCCTCGAACTGTCACACGGTTCGCACGGTCTGCAAGGTTTGCCCGCATATTCTGCGCAGTCTCCACATAGTTTGTCCACTCAGAATGGCTTGTGGCTAGCTGAGTCTTATAGGCGATTATCTTGAAGAATATTGTAGGCGATCACGCCTTTTCATGGGATGTTGAAACTGCCAAAAATGAAAAAGTGATCACATCAAAGCCGTGTGGTTTATCGACATGCATGGCTCCAGTTTATCACCCTGGCTAGATTTCTATAAGATGGTTTGGTGCATCCGCACTCACTGATCCTCTGTCGTCACGGGTCTGTTCAGATCGAGAACGGCACCGTCTCTCGCTTCCTGCGCGCGGAGACCACCACGGGTGGCTCCATGGCGTAGTGGTCGCTGTTGGCGATGGCACTGTAGTAGGACACGACGCAGGCGTACCAGAACCACATGACGACGAACACCACCAGGCCGACGGCCACGCTGACGCTCAGGAAGAAGATGAGCAGCTTGAGGAACTCACCGTCCTCGTTCAGCACCAGCATCACCAGCCAGACGACCAGGCCGAGCCAGGCGAGCGTGGCCAGCACCGTGAAGATGCAGTACCACACCACCCAGGGCAGCATGAACTTGCGCTTGCCCTTGCGGATGCCGTGCACGAGGAGGCTGTCCATTGTGATGTTGAGCGAGCAGATGACGAGCAGGCCGAGCAGCACGAACAGCCAGATCATGTTCTTCCTCTTGTAGTACTGCGGGTGGTCGAGGTAGTCGGCCGGCGTGGTGAAGAGCAGGGACAGGATGGTGAAGACGGACCAGCCGACCACGGTGCAGATGTTCACCACCAGGTACAGCACGGCCACGCACAGGGCGCCCGTCCGCAGCGGGATGCAGCAGCAGCACGTCTTCAGACCCATCCTGGACGCCGGCCGAGCGCCCAGAGGGAGCTCGTCTCAGAGGGACCAGCCTGTAACACACAGGAGAACTTCCTCAGGGACACGAGTCTCCACAGTCCACTTTACTGGAACAATCGGGAATAGGGCGTCATTTGTGCATTACGTAGGTAATATGCCTACCGGAGACTGCAGCCATACCTACCGCTTTGCGGTGGTCGACGAACATCTTACAATTAGGACGTTTTTTATCTTTCGCTTTTGTTTTGTTCCGTTTTTCGTTTGTTTTTCCACTAGCATAGGTTGCTGTTAAGTTGCTGTCATAGGTAGCTGTAGCTGTTTAAGAAGCTGAAAGCAGAGCTTTCATTACCCTTTGCTTAGTTCTCGGTCCTCGGATATCGAAAAGCGATCGATGCCTAGGTACCTATCATTTAAAGTGCAAAACATAACTGGCGTAGCCAGGCTTGGGACGTGCTCTGTTGTGTATTAGGATGATGTCTCTTGTGACGTCATTTACTCTGCCTGGATTTAGAGAGTGTGCCTCATATGGAGAACCTTGGAAGTTGTTGTTCTTGGCCTTGTGTAGTATGGAAGAAACGTTCTGAGTAAAAAGGAGTCTTTGGAGTCAGCCAAAAGCATGAAGTACAATCGGAAGTAGCAGAATAAGGAAAGTACTGACCACTCGATACACAACATGCTCAGCACCGCCACCCACAGTTTCAAATTTCAATACACTTTGTGATCAATAGGGTGAATAGGTCAAAAACGCCCCCATTAAGCGCGAAACCTTCTGACACTCAACCCAACCCAGATTACTCAAACCTTTGGGCACCATCATGTAGCTCATTCTTTTTACTACGCTTTGAGACCAAGAAAAGCCACTTGCGTGTGGTATTTAACCCCCCAAAAAGGTTTCCGCATACCCTTACAAAAGGGCGTTTTGCCCCACACCCTGGGTAATACGCCCACACCCATGTGCAAAGCGCCCCCACCCCATCCATCAACAGAAAATGATGAACATGGCAGAGCTTGACGTCATTCTAACGTCATTTGTGGTCAACCTATTGGAAGCCTTTGGAATAAAATGTTGTTGCAATGTGTAAAATGGATGCCCGGAGAAGTCCTGAAAGTTTGGTGACGATATCTGCAGTCGCTTAGGATATATCAGCAAAAAAGGACAGGGAGAGGCCTTTTCGGCCCCGTACTACAGGGCGCTACCCTGCACTCTCACCACCGTGCAAAACGCCCCCCTTTCAGAAAACTGGGGGCGTCTTGCCCCATGCATCGAGTAGGCGTCTTTCCCCATCCACTCCCTTTCCGGTCAACAAAATATTGACAAAAAACGCGCCACTAACGCCGCAGCATAATAAATTCAACAGAATGACAATAAAACGCAGTTTTGAGTGATGTGCACAATAGCAAGTTTTGTGATATAAAGAGGGCATCAAAAGCATAGGCGCGGGAGCCGGGGGCGCGGGAGCCGGGAGCTCGGACTTGTGTGGGAACAAGTCCGAGCTCGACGCCAAAAGTCTTCAGTCGGACATCGATCGTCTCCAAGCCACAGCATCATCGTGGGGCCTTTCGCTGAACTCGACGAAGTGCGTCCTCATGAGGTTCCAACGGAAATTCCATAAATCACCAAGACCGAGTTACTATCTGAATAACTCTGCCCTTCCCTGGACCGAATCGCACTCCGACCTTGGCGTGATCATCGATGACAGTCTAAGGTTCCATGAGCAGGCTAGAGCTGCCGCCAGGAAGGCTGGAGGAGTGGCACACAGCTTTTTGAAAGCAACCTTGTGTAGGGATGCAGACTTCATGCTGCACATCCTCCGCACCCACATCCGTCCAGTTCTGGAATACGCCTCTGTTGTATGGAACACAGGATATATCGATGACCTCAGAAGTCTCGAGGCGGTCCAACGACTATGGACTCGTCACATCAAAGACCTGCAAAACATGGAGTACGGTGACCGCCTGAGACAGTTAAACCTCTTCTCTGTGAAGGGCAGACTGATCCGATCCGACCTCATTAAATGCTGGAAAATCTTCCACAGCCCCGGTCCCATCAAGCCGTCAGATCTCTGGGAATTGTCCTCCGAACGCCGCACCCGAGGTCATCAACTCAAAATCACAGTCCGGCGCTGCCAACTGGACACGAGATCACGTTTCTTCTCGGAACGCGTCGTGAACGAGTGGAACGCCTTGCCCGACTCGACGGTCACCTCTACTTCCCTCGCCGAGTTCAAGTCATCACTCCTGAAGGTTCTTGGTGATCGTCTGTTCGACTACTTCGTCTGATCTCTCCTGCAAGGTTCTACTGATCATCGCCGCGCACTCCAGATTCTGCGAAGGAGCGAATCAAACAGTACCGTGACAGCCGGTACTGAACTGATACCGCACAGCTAATCACATCTAGAATTTTTTCCTCCCCCAACTCCAAGCAGACGCACTACCCCAATCCCCTGCGGTCCATCTCTCAGCGCCCAGCGTAACCAGGGGAATTGGCGCGTCTCTTTCCTACACGGTTTCCTGCCTCTCCTCATGCACTGGTGAGTCAAGGAAACCCAACAGGTGAGTTGAACAGGTGAGGGGGGCAGTGGGGGCAGCTTGCCCCCCCAACTCTGGGGCCGTGGGGGCGGTGCCCCCACAGCTTTGAGACGGAATACCACACTTTTTTTTGCAAATGTTTTCTTTTTTTGTTGAAAAAGCCGAGGAGTGAAAAATAAGTGGCCTAAAACCGGTGAGAAAACTAGATTTGGGGGTACCCTAGGTTGATCTCTATTATGGTGTGCCCCCCCCCAGTCGGAAAGTAGTTCCCGCGCCCCTGATCAAAAGCTTAGGAATCTTCTGTAAAAACAACAAAAACAACACCCAAAACCAACATCAGCACCTACCCACGCTGCTCCTCAAGACGCAGAACCGGAAATAGAGAACTACGTAAACAAGCAGCTGACTGTTCTGAAAGACAGGATAAAACACCTATCCGTCGATAAGATCTACGATTTTTTTAGGGGAGGCGTTTAACCCAGGGGTGCGTTTTCCCCACAGTTACCCTATGTCCACTTTACTTTACCAACCTAATACCTAACCCAAATACTAGGTATAGAAGCAGACATCCAATTGTGCTGGATGCTGACAAGTGACAGCTGGCTGCAGTGCAAGCCTACAAGATTACATCTCGAGGAAAGGTCTCGGCCGAGCGATGGGAAACTTCCTCTAGTGGATAGGCGCATACGGTCAGACACGTTGCTGTTGTTGAAAAAGTAGGTAATTTGCGTTCAGACTGTGTAGGCTAGGAAAACAGTTTGTTCCTCAAAAGATTCAATATTTCATTTGTTTCGGGAAAATTTCTTACATATTTTCAGTAAGGGAAGTAAAAGTGCATTGTTTGGTAAGGCAATTCAACCGTTTAAAACGTGTGCTTCAGCAATATCAATGAATGTTCAATGGGCTTTTATAATACCTAATTGAACATGTATGAGCATTTGTATAGACATAAAGACATAAAGACATAAATTTGCAGTACAACAAAGAGCCACTGGGGCCCATACTTGGTTGCACATTTGCACAGTCTGTGACTCTGTACTCTGTCAAAATGCGTGCCACCTTTCCGCTTTTCTCCCTAACTTATGTGTGTGAAGTTGGCACAAAACAGTGACACATTGCAGGCATAAAGCATACCTACACCACATTACACAACATTTTGCCACTTCATCACTTCATCAATCATTTCGTCACAACTCTTCCCTGCCCCCCCCGGCCACGCACTATCATCGCCAAATGTCTCACAAGTCCACTGCCATGCAAGGCATCTCCAAACAATTCGCATGTAAGCTCAACGGAACAGCATCAAACACCCGCAACAACATTCTGCAGACATATTGCAACCTAGTATAGGTGTTGAGGTGGATGGTCTGTGATAATGACGAAACGTCTAAGTCCAATCCCACATTTTTTTTTTTTAGAACCAGGGTGGCAACTGGCACAGCCACAATAACGCATGCAGTCACGAGAGCACTCGTGACTTTGTCTGGTGGTTCCAGTCAGTGCACTGCGTCCAGTTAGTTAAGTGATAGCGTTTGAAGTAACAAAACTGTTCCGGGTTCTAAAAGGCGAAAGTCAAACACTGCCATTCTATAATGGTTATAAAATTTACAGTGTCGTCAAGTCATATTTCACCTATAGGTAGTTAGGACGTTAGGTACATGAATATCAAAGGAATGGGCTGAGTGGCGAACACGCGGGGTTTTCGACTCTTCAGTATCGTCCGAACTCGACGAATTTTTAATATTTTCCTGGTATGGAAAGAAAAACTGAATAGCTGTAGTTAAAACTGTTTAATCCAAAACAACAGCGAACAAAGCAAAGGAAATACAAATTCAAGTTACCCTTTGTAAATTAATGAACATTTTTAGAAACCTAATCACCCGCAGTGTAGGTAGGTACAGCCCTCTGCAAACTGCGTGGTAGGTATTCTTTTTTCGACAAAACCGGGAATAACGCGAATACTATGCTAACGGTCACTCGGAAATCGTAACAGCAAGACGTGCGAGACTCCGCACCTTAGGTTGGGCTTATTTTGGTATACATTTTCCAGCTAGTTTGGCAACAATACAAGAAAGTTTATATCTGCCCCCAAAATAAACTTTTGCATTTTGTTGCTACACTAGTTGCATAATTCGTTCAGTGATAGAACCAATCGAAGGAGCGGAGCATGGCGCATCTTTATGCAATGAGATCCGACCGACCGATAACTTAGTCGTTGAGTTATTCTCGGTTTTGTCGAAAAAAGAATACCTACCACGCAGTCTGCAGAGGGCTGTACAATGTTCTCGGATCCGCCAATAATTAGGTTATGTATAATTATTGGAAGTGCATGTTGGAAAGCACCAAATTAAAAGGCCAGAAACGGTCACAAATCGGTCCTTGTTTACATGCACAAACTCAGTTGCGCCGTTTACCTGTGCCTGCTGTCCTGGAGATTTTACCCGGTGTATTCAAGCCGCATCAGAGGCCGTTTTAGTACACTGGCTGAAGCTGTCCGATCGAAGCACTCCCCACAGTCAGTCTCCAGTCAGCCGCGCGAGCGCCGGTGGGCCGTCTCCGTGTCTGCACAGCGTCGCACGCACCCGGGACCAACGCCGGCTGTCCACTGTCGCCAGATTTCCTCTCCGACTCCGTCTGTGCTGCAGCGTTTGTTGCCACAAATCCGGTCGGCCTGACTGGGCACTCAGGGCAGTCTGCAGCAGGTCGGCATCTGGCGAGAGGAGCTTGAACGCAGGGTACTGGACGATAGCGTTATGATAAGTTCTGAACGGGCATTCCTCCCTTCCCGGTCGCCGATTGGTGGTGGGCACAGCGTACCAATGTAAACGGGCGGTAGCTACCTATAGACTGTTGAGATACTAGGTACTGGTAGGCGTATTTAATGGCAATTACGGCAATAGGTGGAAAGAGAGAATCCTGGCCCAGACAGTTAGCCAGGAAACTAGCCCGTAGAATATTTCCTAAGCTGGCTACCTACTCGCTCAAGCAGCACTGGGGAAAGTGTTTTATGTTTTACTGTAACTATGCGATGTAGGTGTTTATTCCTTTAACGAATATATAGCGTCGACTCGTAGCTAAGCGTCAATTAGTGCAACATTTCGCATCCATGACCTAAGTTTAGGTACCTACCTACAGGGTGGGGCATAAAGATTTACCTCTTGATTTTTGAAAATATTTCGGTCCAGAACTAAGATATTCAAATGATTTTTGGTACACGTATTCAGTAGCATGTACACATCTCAGCAACGGCACTATGAACCAATATGGCCACCTTTGGTCTTCACCCCTGCCCCGAAACCTCCCCCTGCGGAGAGGCGCGAGCGCCGCACGGTGGCCTCGTCGAAATTCGACCATGCCGTCTCGAGGGCCAGCTTCAGAGCGGCGATGCTGCTGTGTGGTGTTGCGCACATCTCGCTCTCCAGGACGACCCAGGTGGTGAAGTCCATCGGGTTCAGGTCTGGACTTGATGGTGGCCACATGTCCTTGCCCCAGAATCCAGGCATGTGGGTCTTGCACCACTGTTGAGTGAAGTTGGCCGTATGAGAAGACGCAACGTCCTGGACGACGACGCATCCGTCTCGGAACGACTGAGCGATCCAAGGCAGAGCACGTTCCTCTAGCAGATGGACATAAACGTATGAACTAACTTTCACACCCGCCTCGATGAAGATCAAGGGTCCTTTTGAGCCGTCGGATGCGACGGCAGCTCAAATCATGACACCAGCAGGGTTGTGGCGACCAAAACTGGCCTGGATAGCAGGATTAATGCTGCATGTACCATCTGCCAAGATTATGTCGCCTTGAGAGTTCATCTGGGGCTGAACCGTGGAAATCTTTTTTATCAGATCAGAGGAAGACCTTGCTACCGGCGCTTCTGATTTCCTCCGATATCTTTTGGGCCCTGTGAAGCCGCCTCTCCTTGAATGCCGCCGAAAATAGGTGTCAACGTTGCATCGTGTACGACTCAAGGCTCAAAACGTCGTTTATGATTCTTCTGATCGTTTTGGGCGAAAAATCGAGGTCCTTTGCCAGTTTGCGCATGTTTCGCCATGGATTTCGAGACACCATCTTGTGTACGATATCAACCAGCTTTTTGGTGCGGACATGTCTTGTTCTGCCTGGGATGGGCTTCGTCGACACTGTACCTGTCCCTTTAAGGCATTTCATTAGATTGTTAACAGTTTTCATGGCAACACCGAGCTGTTTTGGAACGCTTCGGACGCTGTGGCCAGCCTGCATCGGCGCCGCAATTTGGGCTCTGTTTGTAATCTCCGCCGTAGCTCATCAACAACCACGACGGAATTAAAACCGATCAGAACAATTATACACGAGTCAGTTGGGAAATCGCATGCAAAATCTTACTAAAATCCGTCCAAAACTTTTTGAGTTATGGGCTAAAAACAAACAGGTAAATCTTTCTGCCCCACCCTGTATACTTTCAGATTCAGATCAAGTCATGACTCACGAGGTCAGAGCAAAACCTAGACAAAAATGGCATGATTTTTTTTTTTGTATCGCCTGCATGTTGTACGGTGGTAGGTGTTGCCCGGCTTTACAGTTTGACGCTCATAGGTAGGTATGTAGAACAAACTTGCCAATCGCTTGTCATTTTCGTTGTAAGGGAAGGTAAAGACTAAAGAGAACTGAGATGTGAGACGGGAATCCATCCACGGCCCAGCTGCGTCTTCACGGATGACGACTTTTGAATTTATTGCAAATTTTATCAAGATAAAGCACATACAGGTATTTGAATGTAGTCCTACTCGTCATACTCCCATTTCGTTTTATGCCCGCTGGAGTGTTCAATGGTGAAGATAGGAGTCAAAAATGTCATTGAAGGAAAATTCGGATATGGTAGCCTAGCCTGGAACAGCAAAAACGGCGCAGCTAATACAACTCTGGTGCGAGCTGCTCACTGAACTCTGTAATGAGCTGCTCAAACGCGTGTTTTCTTATTACTTATTGTAGTGGGATTTATTTTAGAAGTTATCTCTGATAAAATTGGTTTTACAACCCTATACATATATTCCAGGCAAGTACCTTCCTTATGTTTCTTCCAAGTAAGGCGCTTAAGTTAAATGTTGATCAACTGTAGGCTCAATAGACTGCAGATTGATGAGAACCTTGCTCAAACTTGAACTCAAACGTTTCAGGCTGAGGCTAGGTAGTGGCTTGCGACCTGGACCACCTTTTGATTTATATATATTATACATATATAATGTTATTTTTCCGAACACCACATATATGCTAATTAGACATATTGTGCATGGATCCCATATGGGGAAACACAAATTATTGCCTCCAGTAGAGATATCCCAGAACATTTCTTGTTATTCAAATTGTAATGTCACATTTGAGATGAGCAAAACACATATAAAGCAATTCAGGTTCTAAAACTACTCTTGTAGTTTTGGGGGTATTCATACCCGATAGCATGCTGCCGCACATTTGTGAAGTCATAAGACTTCAGTTTTTAAGATCAGTATGGGAAACTACGAGGAGCCAAACAAAAATTGGATCAGCCAATCAATGGCTGTAGTGGACGGGGCGATGACCATATATGGTCATAAAATCAGACAACTTCATTTTTTCCATGCATTCTAGCATTCATGATTCAAATGAAAAAATAAGTCATAAGAATGTTTTTTAACCACACAAGGCCTACACTCAGCACATGCACTGGTGGCTCTAAATCGCAGAGTTACAATACAAGGTCAAACAGTGATTGGCAAATTGAAATATGGTGGATTGAAACAGACGCGCCAAAAAATGTAAGCAGCACCGTTGTTTGAAAATGTCATTATTTCTATTAGGTATTTTGTTTATGGTTTTTCTAATTTCGGTTAAATTTTTATTTTAAAATTAAATATCTTTATCATTCAAATGAAATTAAATCTTAAAACAATTTTCTTTCAAAACACCAATCCATTAATGGAATGGCCAGCTGATTGTGACGCCCAGAACCTGCAGAAAAGCCGTTTTCCTATCGCCTTTTTCGAGTGAATTCGCCGAATTTAATCGAATCGCGTTAATTCGTAGTGGAAAATGGAAGCCTTTTCTCTCCGATACGTGGACGCGATACTGCAGTCTGCAAGTACCGGCACGTTATACCGTTTTTCTTCCGTAGTAGCGAGGGCTGCATTTATGCCCATATACGGTCATCAAAAGTCTATTTATAGTCAAAATGTCTTACAAAACAAAATGTTATCTAATCTGATGTAACCTTTCCTACTGATCTACAATCTACCAACCAACAACCTACAACCTATCAATATGGAACCCTCAGTGAATTCTGTGTAAATATCTCAAGAGCTGTAAAGGCTGGCGACTTCACAAATGGTTGGCAGCATATATTAAGGTACCTGCTGTATGATTGCCAGTTTGCAAAACTATACCTACCTACTAAGCATTAGGTAATAGGTAAAGCCAATGGTAACAATTCAAGTATTTTGTGACGTTGATTTTAATCTACTTGAACAAGTTATAGAACCCACTGTAAAACTGGTAAATGCCTTTGCCTATGTTACAGATGGTGGTGGTGACTAGTTCCCTTCCGCCACCCACGGAGGGTGTGCGTATCGAGCAGCCCAGCACCGCCGCTCACATGGGCCCGCGCGCCCTGGGCAGCGGCACTCTGTACATCGCCGAGAGCCGCGTGGCCTGGGCCGGCACAGACGGCCAGGGCTTCTCGCTGGAGTACCCGCACATCATGCTGCACGCGGTGTCGCGGGACACGTCCGCGTTCCCGCACCCCTGCCTCTACCTGATGGTGGACGCCAAGATTGGACCCCAGGCCGACGGTCAGTGGCAGGGAGAGGCGGCGTATGTATCGCCGCGCTGTGGCACCGATCACTGGAAAAGGTTCTGGTTCTGTCATAATTTATAAGAGAGGTCTACTTGATTTCTAGCTAAGAAATGCAAAGTTAAGTGATCTGTGATTTACGACATAAAGTTCGTCATTCATCGCCATCAGTTGCGTGCCCTGGTGGTCACTATGTGTACCTGTGTTTGGCAGACGCGGCGTCAGATGGCAGTGGCGGCAGCAGCGATGAGGACGCCGCCTCCGGAAGCAGTGTGACCGAGGTGCGTTTCGTCCCGTCGGACGGCGGCTCTCTGGACGCCCTGTTTCACGCCATGTCAGAGTGTCAGTCCCTGCACCCGGACCCCAACGATAGCGTCTCAGCAGACGGTGAGTGCCGCCTGCCGGCCACTGAATGAATGAATGAATGAATGAATGAATGAATGAATGAATGAATGAATGAATGAATGAATGAATGAATGAATGAATGAACGAATGAGCATAATTCACATGTAGGCATGCATATTGCATACTTAAATATGTTCATTTGCTAAGCTAGAGTTAAGTGACCACAATTGTCAATGAAATATCTCCTTAGTGGGCTTTCGTTAAATTTTTCTTTCAATTTTCATGATATTGCTCTGTTACTTTTATTTGCTTTTATAATAAGCTATTGATAAGTCAATTAGACAAATATATTCCACATTTTAAAAGCTTCAATTGTGACAACTATCGCGCCATGGTCTAGTCACGCTCATCGTCAAACAGTTTTTTATAGTTAAAATAGCTTCCTTCGATTGTTGACGAGCTGCAAATGTTTATTTCAAGGCTGATTTTGGTGTTTCATATGGTTCTTTGCGTTTGTTTAGTTCAAGTTTGGTAAAGATGACTAAATGGGGCTTGCACTAGAACTATTGGGAATTTTCGCGAAACTTGATGAGATTTGATGCTGCCAGAATTGCTATTAGGAGCTGCGGTGGTCGCAGAAGTTTTGACGCCAAGCTGCACAATTTGTAAGCCTTATTCAGGGCTGTTTTTTAACGTGAAATTGCTTGTCAAACTCAAGCGCAAACTACCTGTCCCATTCGCCCGTGTCGGCTGGTGCGAACTTATCACTCGATGTCAAAAACAGACAAAGATGTGGAACTGAACAAATGTTTCGGCAGTGCCTTACTTAGGTACTTTTTATTTAAAAAAATGATAAATTCTGAGATAGGACTTGAGTTAAAAGTCTTCCTGAACATTTTCCTCGTGTATATGTAATAACACGATTTAGCCTTGGGAAACATCCAGACGCATTCCCGGTATTCGACATCCCCGCTTTTACTTAGCACTTTTGTCCACGGCTTATGGACAAGGAATTGCCACAATTTAACGCGTCTTAGCTGTTGTTTTGTCTGCAGATAGGCGCCGTTATCTCTCTCCAATGTCCATTCACGCTCGCGCTTCTTGTGACTTACCTTACACAAAGGGGGATTATACCGTTAATGGGAGTCCCCGATCGACAGAGGACGACTATTTCGTCGGTGGCGACTGTGATGCCGAGGGTGACGGCGATGACGACGAGAGCGGGCCGATGAGCAACGGCGGAGGAGCGGGCGACTCGGGCGAGCCCATGGAGACGGGTCAGTTTGACGATCCAGAGGAGTAGGTGCAGCGGACTGCTCGGGATTGGAGTGTGGTCTGGTGCTGGGGCCTGCTGGACCGGTTAAGCCGTGGTCGGACGGTGTGAGTCGGTACCCGGCCGTCTCACACAGTGATAGTGATAAATCATGTGAGCTCTGGCCGGTCGGTGGTCATTGGCGGCCTCTGTGACCGCCGTCGAATCGGGTGTAGGCGGGAGAGGCTCCCAGCCGCCAGCCTACGCCGGTCGTCTGCTCCCACTGTCAGCCGCGGCAGCGCACGAGCCTGTGGAGATATGGGGTCATCCACTGTCGTCTGAGACTGACTGCCAGAATACTGGGAGCTGTGAGCCGTGACAGGCGACCAACGTGCCCATTCCTCATTGTTGCCATCATCACCAATCGCATGCATCACTCGCCAGTGACCGAAGCTTGCTCTGTACGGAGTGTTTGTTGATGGGAGATGCCAGCGCCCTCATTTTTGTACAATATACATCGTTGAAGCACAGTCTGTTTCGATATTTTTGACATTTGTTTTGGTGTTTTAGTATTGATGCTTTCTTTGGCACATATTATGGAGCCGAATAGTGATGTGTTCATTGCCCAGTCCAATTGATACGTTGGTAGTTTTGATATGATCTATTGGCAAATCTCGAACTGATGAATTTCCATTTATATTGCGCCACCAAGCCGAACTGCAAATTATCGATTGGGTAGCTGACCGAGGTATGATTGTATACGCTGAAGAAACCGTGTTGCTTCGAACGAGCAATTGGATTACAATCATGAATATAAGGTACTTCACACTCAAAGCGATTTATATGTGGCGTTGTAGATCAATTTTTTTGCGTAAAATTGCCAAGGAAGAATACGAATGGATTCACGTTAAAGGGACCATCCCACCTTAACATTAGTTTTGAGTTGAGATAGCCAAGTTTGCGGCCAGGCTCAGAAATCACCATTTATCCTGGTCGCAACCCCCGCAGCTTTATGGTGTTCAAGAAATTTCTTCCCTTTACTTGCAGGGTGGGACCAGCTTAGTCCCTATCTCTTAACCATTAGCGGTTTCTTTGATGACGTCAGCAGTCATTTCAACGCCCGCCATTCCTTAAACCCGAATTTTACTGACCTTGAGCTCCCTTTTTTATCAACGTGTCCGTCGTCGGCGCTGAGAAGGCCTATTGATTTTCATTTTAATTTGAATATTAGAAGATACCCACCACTGGAACTTGGACTGATATTATACCAAGGCCGAAGATGATCAAGCTGCCTGCTATATCTGGAGCTTGGTGTTCAACTTCAACATGGAATAAAAAAAAACAAAATATCAAAGCAAACTGGATATGGTAGTGCAAGTTAAAGTCCAAAGAAATTTGAAGAGCTGACAATTGACATTGATTCTTTTCCTGCAAGGTTTCCATATGGAGATCACACCATGAAGAAATATTTTTGATGTTAACAGTTGAAAGGGGATTGATCTTCTGGTTTTGACGAAAGACGCCGCTGTCTTTGGAAAAGAATGTCGGCATGAGGTGCAATTGTGCTTGTGAAGTGGTTATAACTGGTCTTTTCACAGTATTAAATTAAATGTGCCATTGCAGCCAAGTGTGTTATCATGTAAGGTAAAATCAAAACTACAATGTTGGTTTTATGAGCATTGAGAAGGCTGGTAGGTAACACCTGCCCGTGCTCGTAAATCATGCTGCCAAAGTATTCTAAATTAATTTAATCATACGCTTTTGTTGTCCAGAATGGTTGCACTATTGTTTGGTATCATATTATTCCATGTAAATATGGTAGTGTAAAGTCCGACCAACATGTTACCAGATTTGAAGCTGTTAGTTACCTAAGTACAGTGTGTCTAAAAAGAATGTACCGTCGCCACTACGTGGCGCTGGTGTCGCGAGCCGGTAGTTGGCTGAATCCGCACCAGACCACACATTCCCAAGCGCTAGGTGACAGCTGCGCAGCGGCCGGTAGTAGCGTAAGCCCGAACCTTCGTGACACGACCCCGGGGGGGGGAGGGAGGGGAGCGGACGGGGCAGCGCGTGTAGGGAGGGGTGCTCCGGCAAGCTGGCAGTTGTCGCGGCCAAAGGTCAAGGGGTCACACACCAAGCGAACGGACGCTGATGTGGGTTCGTGGGGATCATGAACTTGTGTGTGGTAGGTGCGTCTTGCGATGCACGGGTGATACGCCAGGTCTAAGCCAAAGGATTCAGGGCAGAGCTGAAGAAAAACATCTGGTCAACTACGGCGAATAATGGTGCTGAAAAATGGAAAGTATGGGTCAATGCAAGCCTTCGTGACTATAAACAACTTTTCTGAGGACGCAAAGGCCAGCATTGAATAACGATATCCGGATCGAAATTAGCAATGATTTATAATTAAATGCCGAACTAATAGCGCTGCAAAACCCTCCTAGTAAATTGTCAAGTCGGATTATACCCACTTGAATTAAACTATCCTAAATAAAATTGTTAATTAACTTTCTAACACTGACGTTCTTTATCATACGATAAGTATGGGGTTAACCAAGATTCAGCATCTTCCGCGTTCAAACAATAACCTGTAAGGTTAGAACATTAATGGCCAGGTAAAAACATGGTCGGGATTTGATTAACCGGATTATAAGTCGATTTTTTTTAGTCGGGATTTGATAAGTCGGATTTTTTACGCCAACCGCATTTTTAAGTCAAGTCAGGTCACTGATCTATGACGTCATAAATGAGCAGTCCTAAAATGAACTGTGTGAAACTTCCTAAACTGTCCTAAAATGAACATTTTAGGACTGTGCTAAAATGTTCCAACTTCGCAACACCCTCAGTGCAGAGCTTTCATAGGGAGATGAAACTTACAGGATCTTATAGTATGATCGAGAGGTCTCACAACTTGTATAAATGTATATCTAGGATTTTCTGAAGGGTCGCCTGAGATCAGGTCAGTCTCTCACCATTAAAAGTCAGGGGAATATGGAAATTGCTAGTTTGGACCGGAAATGATATACAACTATCTCAAATTCTCAAGCACACGGAATCGTGATTTCATGCGCTGCTTGCAAGGTCTGATGCTTCAATTTTGCTTTGTTGATCTTGCGTGACGTCATTTATCACGTAACTAAGGCTATCAGTTTTTCGTCAATAACTCCCGATCAACTAAAGCTACCGAGTCGATAAAGCCACTAATGGACATGAAAAGACCTGCCGAATCGATTGATATGCAATATGACCTCCTTTGACCAGCTTCGTGACCTGACGGGCTGTGACCTGACCTTGACCCGAGGTTAACACCTTAACTCTCGCCCGTATTGGTGTTTTTCCAGCCTCAAACGTATAAGGGTCCGTTGGACCCCCCCCTTGCCGTTTCGCCCCTGATCGAGCTAGAGCTTCGCGGAAAAAACGAGCGTGTTGGCCGTGACGAGAGGAAGTCGATGATACCCAATTTTAAGGTTCTAGGTCATCGGTTGACTTTCCATGTCAGGTCAATGACCCAAAAGTCGGGGAAATCGGGACCTGTTAGAAAGTCGTAAAGCGTGGCTGCTATGGGGTTTTCGGGGTGCTGATCACGAATATCATGTTAGTTTTGATCGCAGATGATGTCTTCATGCATTTAGGCCAGGTCGGGTCAGGTCAGGTCAGGTCAACCAGTAAGGGTATTCGTAGTAGGTGGCAACCGCCTCTGACAGCTTCGCAACATGTTACGAGGGCACCAAAACTACTTCGTAAATGTTCATATGGCTGCTAAATTCGAATTCAGCTCCTAAAACTGGCCTAGAAACATGTAAAACTCGAAAAAGTGAACCGAGGTCATCAAAGGTCAATGACCTGACCTGACTTTCCGGTGACCTTGACACCCACCCTAATGCATGGAAGCAAGATCATATCCCATGTTTGAACGCTTAAAACCACGAAAAGACTGCAAACGCGTCGCTAATGCTAGCCGACATACGCCGAATCGCGATTCCGGCCAAACATGGTCTCGAAAAGTAGGTCGCAGGTCAAAGGTCATTAAGGTCAGGGTCATGACAATTTCAGGGTGGGTGTAAAATTGATTAACGCGAGGGTACTGAAAGTTTCGTCGCGATCGGCCGCTTTTTACGCGAGTTATTCGCGAAAAACCGAGGGAGGGGGTCCGTTCGACCCCCCCCCCCCTCTATACGGGCGAGGGTTAAGTTGATCTCACCCGAAGAAAAAGTATACCATTCGACACGCCTGAGCTAGACAAACACGATGCTGCTAAAATCGCGGATCTGCGATCATTTTTAGCGAAGTTATTTACCAAAAACCGAACCTGTGCCTTGGGCCACTTGACCTGACCTCCGAAGTCATCGGCTGACCCTGGTCCTTAAATCGGAGACCAATCGCTGCATTTCGTAACGACGCACACGATCGTTTCTTTCGCGAGGCTCTAGCTCAATTAGGGGCGAATCGGCGAAGGGGGTTGTTTCCTCACTTCCAACCCCCAACGTCCCCTCGGTATTCAGAAAACCTGAAGGTCCGGTGAGGGTTAAAACGTTTCTCCTGAACGAGGAAGAAATGTGAAAGTCAAAGCTCTATAGACGTCCTGTAAAAGTGGCCATAATAATAAATTCGTTAGAAATAAGATGCTTTTTAAACGACTTCCTCATATAAAATCGGGTGCTGGGACCAATCTTATAAACGCTTTAGAATGGACAGGGTGTCACTGGCTAAAGTTTGGGTGCAGAAAACGGCTATTACCTAAATGCAAAATGGTTTTCATGCATTTCAGTCAATTGTATATTGTCGGTCCCAGTGGCCGAGCTAAAAAAAAAAATCGGTAGTGTTTTGCATCTTTTACGCCCTAAGAAACTACACCATCTATCGAAGTGGGCGGGCTTATTTGAATGGGAGGGCGCATTATGCACGAATCGTGTGCTTTCGTTTATTTTGGACTGTATTTTACCACATCCACTGCTGGTATCACTATTAATATAATCTAATGCCGTGAATACGACAGCATTCCATTTATAAGATTGGGCCAATGGAGTCGCGCCCCGCGAGCTCGGTTTTCCGCTGGGACGCTACAGGCCAGGAAGTCGGTCTTCGCCTGAGGGCAGGACAAAGGTCAGCGAGGGAGCGCGGGGTCAGCCAGGTATCGCCAAGTGCCGAGCGAAAGCCGCTCCCTCCCCTCTCTTCCGCTCTTCTTCCCTCCCCACCTCGGTATAGATGGGGAGGGACCGAACTGCCAATGACATGCGAGCGGTCAAGGCCGCTCGCGCGGCAGCGACCCTGGCGGCCGGGTGCCGCAACTGGGATTCAGCCAAGTTACCGGTTCGCCTCCTGTGGGAGAGCCAAACCAGGGGACATACTTTTTAGATATACTGTACCTGTTTTTTTACTGGCGTGGTGAATGTCACCTGGATTTTGTTTTGAGGTGCAGACCTAGTAACTCTGACTACATGGGTTTGAAGCTATTACCTATTCTGTTTTTACTGGCCTGGTGAATGGCGACTGATGTTGTCTGTGGATGGCACTGAAACAAATTTTGAGT